TTAATTAGGGTTTCAATCTTCATTCTGATTTCTTTGTGTCCGTGATTGATCGATTGATTTCTGTTGCCGATCTTTATATCTCACTTCTATATGAGTACTTAATTATTAACATTGTTTGATTGGCACGAGATCTGATTCTCTCAAATCGGTGTTTAATTTTGATTTTATCTGTTTAATTTTTGTTCTATTGATCGGTTTACTTGGTTCAACATTGAGTTTCGTTGATGGCTTTGACTTCAATTACCCTATGCTTTTCTTTTAATGGTGAAAATTTGTAATACATTCACCAGAAGAATTGTATTTTTGAAATCCAAATCTACAGTGAATATAACTTATTTTTTTTGTCACTTAACAAGGTGTTTTGATTATTTGAGCTTTTTCTATTTTTCTTGTTAAATTGTATCTTAAGTATATTAGCTAACAAAATTTAAACTAGTTATATATTTTAAAGAATACAAAACTGGGTTAAAGAGGCAAAAGACCAAGACATGTATCTTTGTACGATGAACTAGAGAATGGACAATTCTCTTTCAATTAGTTACGATCCTACATCGGTTGACATAGATGCATATAAGTCTCTTGGGCATCCACCCCTTGTATGTTGGTTTTCAAGGGTGATTTCTACTCAAGTGGTTTGTATCATTGGATATCAGAGCCATTTACCATCTTGAGTATGAGATTGGATGCACTTATGTAAGTATGAGATTGTATGGGTGTGGCATTGTGATTCAAGCTGCGGAGGAGGCGATCTATAGGCTAGATTAAGACATTACTAAGGTCTTGAATATTGATAGGTGATTGAAGCCGTCAAAAGGGAAAGGGCTGCCATTAGGTTAGTGTTGATAGTGTAGGCTGTCGTAGATGTTGGCTGCGGGGTGTGGTGTTATGTTACGATCCAACATCAATTAACATAGGCCTTGGCCATGTGCATATAAGCCTCTTGGGCACCCTCCCTTTACAAACAAGTTTTCAATGATGAGTTCTATGCAAGGGATTCGTACCACAATCAAACAATAGATAAAGGAGCAAAGATGGTCAATAAAGGGAAGTTCAAAACCATTATGTCCTGTTACAAGTCCTCTTCCAAAGCTGTCCACATAACACTTAAAGATCAATCTGCCGCACCTTCTTTTGTGACCTCTTTGACCAAGACTAAAAGAACAACTCCAAGAAGCAAGAGACTCCCATTGACAATATAACCCATTTAGCACAAACTGAGGACATAAAACTTCAAAGCTATCTGGTCACTGGACAATGAAGGATATGCTAATACGTTTTCTCCTGCCTGCTTACACATGCAACACCAATCAATAATGACATTGCCTTCTTTATTGAGGTTGTCAATAGCCAAAATAGCCTTAGGTTGTCAATACTCCCAAGAGTATTCTAATTAAACATGTGATGGTGGTTTGGATGGGCCTGATTTGACCCATAACTTTGTCCCCTCTTTTGTTGGTTAGTCTTTGATCTCGAAATTCTTATAATGGAGTTTGTCTTGTTTTCTACGTAATTACTTTTATTTTAACTCTTGCAGTTAAGCATCTTGATTTCATGAGAACATGTTAATTTTGACTTTTCAAATCTAAGCATCACAAAGCATGCTGGGTTTTGTGATTGTCCCACAATATTTTTTCTGTCCGACTGAATAGGTATTTGCAACCTTATTTTGAAGCATACTGACTGTCATTCTAATGATTGAGAGCATAAGAGGCATGCTATGAAGTACGGACACCTCTCTGGAGGTCACGTATCTGCACACGTGTTAGACATACTGGAAAGAGTATGACACGCTGGGACACTAAATTGGGACAAGCTGAGGACTATTTTTTTTCTTTTTAAAAAAAATTATTTATTTTTTAACTAAAATAACATACCTAAAGTTTATAAATTGATAAAATTAAATATTTGACATAAAATACGTATTAAATATTTAAAATATGACATATAATAAATATATAAAATTATATTTTTTATACGTGTCCCCAACGTGTCGTATTCTGTATTTTTTGAAAATTTACGTGTCCGCGTGTCTGTGTCCGTGCTTCTTAGGAGACATGTTGTTTAAGAGTGATTGATAATTGTTGTTATTGCTCTTTAGGTTTATATAAAGGAAAGAGCATAGCATAACAATATCTCAAAATGGTATACACAAACCTAATGGCTTGTGGTAATTTTTTTGAGGCTTAGAAGTATTTATAGTTTACCTCAACATCACTGGAGATGTTTTGATTTCTCATATATTTGATCAAATTTGGTTCAATTTTGCATTTTCATCTCTCATAAAATTTTCTACGTTTGAAACTAGTTGGTGGTTACGTGGGCATAGAATGATTTCCATATTAATCTATTAGTCGATATGTGTCATGATAGTGATAGGTCTTTACCTAAGCATAGGGCCAAAAAGAAGCGTTATAAGCCATATGTGTGTAATCCGTTATTGTGTTCAAACTAGTCCTCTAATTGATGTTGGTTCTATCAATCTATATATGATTTGTTTCTTTGTTCATGATGACTCGATCATATCTGCATCTATGTATGCATCCGTTTTTTGATTCTTGAGACTGATGTCTTTAGTTTATTTTTTCTTCTTCAATTAATGGAATCTAGATATGGAAAACATATCTTTTAATTGTATTTAGGGGTTGTTTGGGATGACCTAAATAAGTGTATTTTTTGTCTTTTTACGAAAAGATGTGCAGAAAAGTAGAGAGGTGATGTGATGGAAAAAAAAATAAAAAGATAAAAAAATGAATTATTTGGGACTTTCCAAACTTGGCCTTAATGTGTTTCCCATCTTATACTCTATTTCATGTGTAAGACAATATCGTTACTTAGTGGTTGTTCGATAATCCAATGTAGCACTTAACACTGAATGTATTCAGGTGAAAATACATGAAGTGCATTTGGGAATCACAATTCAAGTCACTTAAAAAAATCAAGTACTAAAAATAATAGGCTCTTTCTAAATGCTAAATTTCTAACAGCTTGTACTCCGTGAAAGTGTATCGTCATCACCTGTGGTGGAGGCACATTAGGGCAGGGGGGTCACGTGCCCTGGGTTTTGGGAATTTTTATTTATTTATTTTTAATATAAAGAAAATATTTTAAATAAAAAAATTTATAAAAATATTTTTTAAAGTAAATGTCAATGACTTTTTAAAATTATAAGAATAATAATGATTATTTTGATTAAAAATAAAGAAACTATGATAAGTCATAATGGTGATGTCTATTATTATTGACATGCAAACATAATTAATTTCAATGAAGACATGAAATTTATTAGATTGTTAGTTATATTTGACATGTAAAGTTTATCCTCCATGTGAAGTTTATCCTCTATGTGTTTCTTTCCATTTATAACTAAAATGACCACTATATAAATTATAATCAAACAACACATCTTCAATTATAAAAAATAAAAAAAAAATTACAATAGGTTATAATTAATATCAGAATGAGTCATAACTAACTATTACTTGATATATAGTCATAACCATAATAATAACCATAAGAAATTATAACTAAATTATATCTAACACTATAATGTGTTATAACTAAAGACCACGAAAATCATAATTACGACATATGATAGACACTTTTTTTGCGGTATGTTTTATAGAATTTCTCTACTAAAATATATCATTTCTATCTCAACTTATCTTCTTTTGTAAATTTCCAATCCACCTATAAAATAGTTACTCCCCAATATTTGTATAAAATTTAATCTCAAATCCTTTAATTTAAAATTCACATTTATCCAAATGAACTCTTAATATTTAAGTTTAGTAATATCTCATTGTTGTTTATTATGAAAGAAAAAAAATTTAATGTTGTCATTAATTTGTGTCCCCTCTCCACTGAATTCCTGGCTACGTTACTGGTCATCACCCCACCAACAGTATCACCATTTTTGCTACTAGCATTGCCAATACCTTTCACCATATTGTCGCTACCACTCACTACAACAAAACTAACCATTTACGGCATCATGTTTATGGCATGCATTAAATGCATGTTGTAGTTAGTACATTCTACAACATTTTTTTTTTGGCAAGTCGTTAATGTTTTATCAATAACAACATACATACTATGTAAGTCGTTAATTCATATATTTATGGCATGCAAAAATATGCCGTAAAAATGTATGTTTTTATGACTTACAAAAATGTCGTAAAATATTTGCACTTAAGACGACATACATTTTATGTTGTAAAATATTATAACATTACACGACATGCTAATGAATATCGTGAAAACTTGTAAATAAAAAAAAAAATCAATTTGATTTTTTTATGACATGCAAAAGTATGCCGTAAAAAATGTATATTTTCACGGCATACAAAAATATGTTATAAAATATTTGCACTTAAGACAACATACATTTCATGTCGTAAAATATTAAATTTGATATTTTTTTGAATTTAGTGATTTTTTAAGAAAATTGAAAAATATATCTAAGTATATGTAAATTATTTGAATTTAAAAAGTAAAAAAAAAATTATTTAAAAACTTACGCCACACTCCCTCTCATTCTAGATCCATACATATTTTTGTCCCAAACCGTCTCATTCTCTAGAGAAATTATATTTTAATTATAAATAATAAAAAAATTCTAGACGTTCTTAAATATTTATAAATTTTTGGTAGATATAACAATTTTTTATTTTTTTCCAATAAACTAGATATTCCAGTTATATTCTAGATTTTTTTTAATACAAAAATAATTTATGAACTTAAATTTTTTTTTCTAAAATTTTCTACTCCAATTTTTATTTATTTATTAATATTGTTAAAATTACACATACTTTGCATCCCAAATTTTTCTTATTAATATTATCATTTGTTTTTTTGGAACAGATTTATTAACAATCTGTTTTAAAATAACATTTTTTTTTAAACAGATTTATTAGCAATTTATTAGGTGAAAAATGTAATTAACCCTATTTATTATATACATTCAATGTTATTGAAGCCGCATCAACCCTATTTATTTGATTAATACTAATCTCATTTCTATATTCTTGATGCCACATCAACCCTATTTATTTGATCAATACTAATATCATTTCTATTATCTCTCTCTCTCTTTGTATCTCTCTCGACGATATCATCGATCAATACTTTGCGGTAAGTGCTCATCATCGATTCTCCTCTGTTTGATCCATTTTATTATATTTCTAGATCCTTGGGAGTAAGGGTTTATTGATCGATTCACCCTAAGAATGTCAATCTCTACATTCAGGCCATTAATCCTAACCCTAAGAATGCCGATCTCTTCGTAGATTGTGATGAATTGCGAGATTCGATTCAATATTCGTATATTCTCTACACACAGGCCATTAATTATGTTTTGTTCATCAATTATGTTCTAAAATAATTATGTTCTGTTCATCAAGTGAGTTTCTTGAGTTGTTTGCTTCAATTGGATTCGATTAAGCTTCTATTTGTGTTAGGTTTGATTCTTGTTTTTCTGAAATAATGGGTACTTTGGGTCAATGTATTCTAAGGATTTCTATGAAGAAGCTACATTTGGATCAATGAATATTTCTAAATGATAGCAGAATTATTGTCTTTTTATAATTTGGCCTCATTTGGAACTAGTTTTTTTAATCTGATTTGAGAGAGAGGGGGGGTGGCTCGCGGGGGGAAGGTAAATATTCCTAATCCTAGTGGTTTTTGATATTATACTTTCTACCAACAGTTTGTCCCTCTTGGGTATATTAGCTGTTGTTTTGATATCATTTGCTCATTTCAATAATCAAGTGTTTTTGCTTTATTTTTTTTCCCCACCTAGTAGGATTTGTAATTGAGAATCGGATAAGTGATAATGTGTTATGGCTATGAGAAAGACTTGATTATACAAGTACTTTTTATCAATGCATTAGAATCTTAGAGCATGTTTGTTTTGAGGGATAAGAGGGTGAGATTGAACTATTAGTCTCACCGGACTAATAGTCCATTGTTTGTTTGAAAAATTTTACTCCGGACTATTAGTCCCACAAACATGGGACTATCCTATCCCATGGGGATGTGGGATAGAAACCATGGGATTGGTATCCCATAGGATTATTTTGTGAAATGTCTATTTTACCCTCCATGCTATTACTTAGTGAACAATTAGAAAAGGGTAAAATAGTCTTTTGAATATTTATAAATTATTTTTTTAGTGTTGTTAAATAAAAAATATAAATTATAAATTAAATTTATTTAAAAATAATAAATAATAAATTATAAATTATGGCCTTATAAATTAAATTTTTTTAGTGTTGTTGAAAATTTAATTTATATATTAAATAAAATTATTTTTTTATTGTCGTTATTTAAAATTATATATTAAATAAAAAATATAAATTATAAATTAAATTTATTTAAAAATAATAAATAATAAATTATAAATTATGGCCTTATAAATTAAATTTTTTTAGTGTTGTTGAAAATTTAATTTATATATTAAATAAAATTATTTTTTTATTGTCGTTATTTAAAATTATATATTAAATAAAAATATAAAATATAAAATATAAATTTAATTTAATTTAATTGAAAATAATAAATTAAAAATTGTGGCCTTATAAATTAAATTTTTTTAGTGTTGTTAAATTATAAATTATAGATTACAAGGGTAAAATAGTCTTTTGAATATTTATCCTTATCCAGTCCGTCTAACCAAACATTGGATTTACTAAAAATAGTCCAATCCAATGTTAGTTCCGGAATACATTGTCCCGAGACTATTTGATTAGATTAGATTTGTATCCTATGAATTACAATCCCCTCTTATCCAGACCGTCCAAACAAACACACCCTTATAGCATTGGCATGTTGGGCAGTCACTACAGAGGCATAACAGCTCCAATGTGGGGCTAATTTTAGTTTGGTGCATTTCTTGATTTAGCTAATTTTACTGTTTATTCCTTGATTTTAGTGCACGGAAAAGATACCTTTGTCTTTAAATAGATCAAATAAAGTGGAATGGCAAGTAAAGTGCAAATTTACGTGACTTACAAGAAACTATAGGGAAAATTAAATACTTATAATATGTTTCTCCTGTCTAGTAAAGAAAGTTTCTATTAGTGCAAATACAAAATTTAAAGCTGGAATAATTATTGTCATCAATTGTAAATTTGTGATATATAATACAAGTGCAAAGATATGACCCTCACCTCCAAGGTTTTAAAACGTAATGATTTTGGTGGTTACCGTCACTCGTTACGGCCGCTTTTACAGTGTGATTGAGATTTACAGGTGTGTCGGTCATAGCGGCTGCCGTAGCGGTCGTAACGGTGCCATAACAACCGTGACGGCCTGTTACACCCCGTTACGTAACGGTTCCAAACTGTTTCTTTCGAAAAAACACATAAAAAAAAAGCTGAAAATGAAGGAAAAGGGATAGAGAGAAGAGGGAAGATAAAGAGAGAAAATGGAGGAGCAAGAGATAGAGAGAGAGAAGAGGGAAGATGAAGAACATGTTATTGATTTGTTAAAGTTGTAAGACTTATGCTATTCTATTCAACTGTTATCACTCAACCATTTTGTTTGTATGTATCTATCTATATATTGTCTAAAAATAATAATAATAATAATTGTGGTCATTATCTATTTGGCTTCGTTAAAATATGTATATATATATTTAGCTTCTTATTTATTCTCTTACTTTTGTCATTGTTTATCTTATATGATAATTTGGGGTCAAAGTAAAATTATACGAAAACGAAGGAGGAAAGTGAAAATAATAAAAATGCACCAACATATTTCTATGCCCCAAATTTATATTTGTATACATGACAAATAAAATATATATTAAAAAAAATAAAACAAAATAAATTGTCCTATCCCACTGTGTTTGTATCCCAATTTTTCAAAATCGCCATGTACTGCATCAGTGAGTGTGTGTCCGCGCGTCTTAGGATGGGGCTCCCCGTGGATGAGGAGGAAGGGTTCAGGAGGGAACTACTCCCTCCTAACTTTGGGTGACATTTTTAAACGGGGTATTGTCCTGCATGTTGTGCAGTTAACCCGTGATGCATTCAATGAGATCCCCATGCTACCTACCAGTCATGCATGGTTGCAGGAATCAATATATCATGCCCATAGTTGACACTCGACACAAACTCATCATTCTCTGTATTCAACTATGGCATGGGTAATATATATCTAGGACGGTAGACATGAAACAAGAAGGCCGGAGGTTTACCAAGCTACCGAACTCATATTTTGGCATTTTCTGGTATTGCTGCTTGGGGAAAGTGATCATGTTTTTTCCCTTATTAATTTTTACAGGTGGACGATCCCATTGCTTCAGTCAAAAAGCTATTCATGTCTCCATCTGCCAAAAAAATGAAGCTGGCTCATGGTTCAAGTTGAGAAGCACCAAACTGTGAGAAGCCATGAAAGTGTTGATCTTTCAACCCGTTTTTGTTTGAGTTTTGTTTTCCTTTTTGCTTTTTGATGAGCCGTGTTGTACCTCATGGGCATGTTTGATTGGGTGGATTAGAGCATGGGATTAGGATTATTAATCCGTGGGCCCAATTATCCTATGTTTGTTTTTACATTTTGGTTTAGGATTATTAATCCAATGGATAATTAATCCAACAAATTTGTAGGATTATTAGTAATGGGGTAGGGGTGGGATTATTAATCCAATGGATATTAATCCAATTGGATAGTGAATCCTACACTAATTTAATAAGATTATTAATACTTCACTATTAGTCTTTTGAATCAAACATGACCTTAGAGCATTGGCATGTTGGGCAGTCACTACAGAGGCATAACAGCTCCAATGTGGGGCTAATTTGAGTTTGGTGCATTTCTTGATTTAGCTAATTTTACTGTTTATTCCTTGATTTTAGTGCACGGAAAAGATACTTTGTCTTTAAATAGATCAAATAAAGTGGAATGGCAAGTAAAGTGCAAATTTACGTGACTTACAAGAAACTATAGGGAAAATTAAATACTTATAATATGTTTCTCCTGTCTAGTAAAGAAAGTTTCTATTAGTGCAAATACAAAATTTAAAGCTGGAATAATTATTGTCATCAATTGTAAATTTGTGATATATAATACAAGTGCAAAGATATGACCCTCACCTCCAAGGTTTTAAAACGTAATGATTTTGGTGGTTACCGTCACTCGTTACGGCCGCTTTTACAGTGTGATTGAGATTTACAGGTGTGTCGGTCATAGCGGCTGCCGTAGCGGTCGTAACGGTGCCATAACAACCGTGACGGCCTGTTACACCCCGTTACGTAACGGTTCCAAACTGTTTCTTTCGAAAAAACACATAAAAAAAAAGCTGAAAATGAAGGAAAAGGGATAGAGAGAAGAGGGAAGATAAAGAGAGAAAATGGAGGAGCAAGAGATAGAGAGAGAGAAGAGGGAAGATGAAGAACATGTTATTGATTTGTTAAAGTTGTAAGACTTATGCTATTCTATTCAACTGTTATCACTCAACCATTTTGTTTGTGTGTGTCTATCTATATATTGTCTAAAAATAATAATAAATAATAACTGTGGTCATTATCTATTTGGCTTGGTTAAAATATGTATATATATATTTAGCTTCTTATTTATTCTCTTACTTTTGTCATTGTTTATCTTATATGTAATAGTTACTAATTGATTTTTTGTATAACATAAAGTTATTAATTTTTAAAATAAAATATAAAAAACTCAGTTTATACTGATTTAAAAATATGAAATATATTGGATCATACTTAAAAATTTATAAAAATTGATCAATATTTATTTTAAACCCAATAAATATGATCATGGGAAAAAAATATGCGTATCAGTAAGTTTTTTTCAAATTGTGTGAAAAATAAAAAAATTCACAGTTCCGGTTACCGCAACCGTTACGCTAAGGCCTTTACACCCCGCCACCGCAACCGCGCCACCGCCAACGTTACAACGATCGCAACCACTTTTCAGAAGCTTGCTCACCTCTCTTCCTTTCCTTTTCTTGTTAAGTAATGTGAATAACAGGTGAAGAATGTTTTAATACTTTCAAATATTATTTTTCTTCAAAATGTCTGAAATGTTTATTACTTTTTCCTTTTGGCAGGGATCTCGATAACAAGAAGTTAACTAGACCAATTCCTTCACAAATTGGCGTTTGAGGCATCTTAAAATACTGTATGGATCATCATCTCCCAATATATTAATATTGGTTACGAATACCACTTTTTCATTTAACTTGTGAACATTTTTTTCTAGTGATTAATGTTGCTATTCACAATAAATCAAACCAAACCAAACAAAACATTAAGTCCCATCATATCCGGTGTGGGAGTAGGCCAACATTTCTGTTGGAAAATAGGAAGTTTCCAAATCCACGGCCAAGTACTTATTACTTCTTGGGCTGTAATTGCTATTTTATTAAGTTCAGCCACTATAGCTGTCTGGAACCTACAAACTGTGTCGACTGGCGGTCAGAATTTCTTCAAATATGTCCTTGAATTCATTCGAGATGTGAGTAAAACCCAAATTGGGGAAGAATATGGTCCTTGGTCGGTTACATTAATGTTCCTATTCACATATCTGTTCAATTTCATATGATGAAAGATTAAACTACAAGTGTTTATGATTGAATAAAAAACTAATTGCCCGAAAATTGGCGGAGACAACTATAGCATCAACATCCATGTGAAAGATGTTAAAGGTATATCTTTCATGCATTGTTTTCTGGCTAAAAATAACTCTTGTAACAGAAATCGCCACCATCGTTGCCATTATCACAACCACAACCACCATCTTCATTGCCACCCTACCACCATCCACACCATCACCATCACCATCACCATCACCGCCACTCTATTGCACCATTACCACCACCATCACCTTCACCTTGTCGCCAACCCCATATGAAGACGGTTCATACTTTGAACTCCATATGAAAATTTAGCTCTCAGTTTTCAATTTGTTGTTTTTTAAACACGACCTTATTTGATTGCTACTTTTTATCACCATATGAAGATAATTCGTACTTATGAATATGAATCTGAAAATCCTCGGCATCTCACTTTCGTTCAATTAGGGTTGTCTTGTACCGGCTTATTGGAACGGAAGTGATTCAAGGATAAAGGGTCAAAACAAGGAATTTGAATTTGTTGTTTTCTTGGAGGAAGCAAATGCCTTCTCAAAAGATTGAAACTGGTCATCAAGACACTGTTCATGATGTGGCGATGGATTACTATGGTAAGCGTCTTGCTACAGCTTCTTCAGACAACACCATTAAGATAGTCGGGGTGAGCAATTCGACCTCTGAGCATCTTGCCACCTTAAGCAGTCATCAAGGACCTGTGTGGCAAGTGGCTTGGGCTCACCCCAAGTTTGGTTCCCTTCTTGCTTCATGTTCTTATGATGGGAGGGTCATACTTTGGAAGGAAAGTAAACAAAATGAGTGGAGCCAAGCCCATGTTTTTGATGATCATAAATCTTCTGTGAATTCCATTGCTTGGGCTCCTCATGAATTGGGTCTATGTTTAGCATGTGGATCCTCAAATGGCAATATTTCAGTTTTTACTGCACGATCTGATGGTGGTTGGGACACGTCACGCATTGACCAAGCTCACCTAGTTGGTGTTACTTCCGTTTCATGGGCACCATCAATGGCTCCTGGTGCTCTTGTTGGCTCTGGTCTGCTTGATCCTGTTCAAAAGCTTGCATCGGGTGGTTGTGATAATACTGTAAAAGTGTGGAAGCTTTATAATGGAGTTTGGAAGATGGATTGCTTCCCTGCTCTTCAAATGCATACTGATTGGGTTAGGGATGTTGCTTGGGCACCTAACTTGGGACTCCCTAAATCCACAATTGCAAGTGCTTCACAGGATGGGAGAGTCATTGTGTGGACTGTGACAAAGGAAGGGGATCAATGGGATGGTAAGGTTTTGAAGGATTTTCTGACCCCTGTTTGGAGGGTCTCTTGGTCACTCACTGGAAACATACTGGCTGTGGCTGATGGGAAAAACTATGTAACATTGTGGAAAGAAGAAGTAGATGGAGAATGGCAACAGGTGACAACAGTTGAGCCGTAAAGCTCGAGCCCCCACCCCTTTTTTCTCGTGATTATAGTTCAATACTTTGCTTGAAATTGAGGGTCCTAAGACAGTCAAAACTTTTAGTCTTTATGAGAAGTCAGTTGCATGATATGAAGGTTTATGAATATTTTTTACCTGATGATTACAGCTCACCTGAATGTTTACAATATACTTCTCAATATCTGGTTTAAAGATTTGTTTGCCAGGTTGTCTGCTCAAGATTTCCTCCCCCACCCCACCCAACAAAGCAATGTTTTGGAAAATATTCTAACTCAATCTGTTACCTGAATGACATGAATATGTGTAACAGAATACTGGTCTTGTAAATGCATCAACACTCCAAGCTTTATGACATTGCGAGTGTTGCCATTTTCAGTGTTACTTTAGGCCAGTGCACTTTGGAAATGCTTTTCTCGTGATGAGAATCATGAATGAAATTCTCACAGCATTTCAACCTTCTGGACATGTCAAACCGTGTGGGAGAACGGAGTAATATCTCTAATGTTTTCCAACCCCCTTGCTAGTCATCCATGTGTGATATCCTTTACCATGTCAATTATCAGACTTTTTGTTATTCTAATTGGAATCAACAGTCCCATAAATAGATTTAAGATGTAAATCTTTGGTGTATGAAATTGTAATTCTTTTTTCACTTCATATTCATGATGAATTGGATGTCGGTTATTATTATTAGTGATCCCATGAATGCTGTGAACTGAAATATTATTAGTTGACCACTTTAAACTGGATTGAATGATTGGATTCTCTCCTTCTTGTATCTACAAATTGATTTATGAGCCCTAGGTTTGATATGCTAAACTAGTGATGAAACTTGAGTCATTTTCATCTTCCTCTAGCAATGTCTACCAATGTCCTCCAGTATTGCACTCACTCATAGGCACAATACCCACATGCGGTTGTAGTTTTGTCAAAAGCTGCTTCTTCCCATAGGCTGTGTTTGGGGGAGTAGGGAGTACTGGGTGATCATACTTCCTCATCAATTATATGAGGAACTATTGAGTTCCATAGGGGATACAAAATGAGATTTAACACTTTTTTTTGTTTTGGTGAAAAATATTTTTTATAAAAAAATTTATTTAAAAAATATTTTCTTATATTTGGTTGCATTTTTTAAAATAATATATTAATGATTGTAATAGTGGTTGGAGATGGTGGGGGTAATGGCGTGGCGGTGGCAGCAGAAGTAATTTCAAAGGGGATATTCTCCCTCCTAATTTATTGGAATGATTTTGACTAGCTGTCATTCTAAGTCTCATGATGTGGAAAAAATATTGAGCATCAGTTCCACTTCCACTCACCAACATTATTCCATCCCCACATCATGGTTCTAGGTGATGGGCTTGAAAATTAAAGTACTGGAAATTTTTAATATTGAAATTTAAGTTCGAAAATGTTAAGATAAAGATGTTAGTTAATATTCTAGAATGTAAGTTAAAGGGGAAAAAAATCTAAAATGTAAATGAAAATTATATTATCTTTTATAGATTGTTTTTAAATATGGAAAATAATATAAAAGTCTATTTTGTAGATCGATTTTCTAAACTAAATAATGTATAAATAATATGATTAGTTAATAATTGAGAATATATGAGCAGCATTTATTGATAAGTTCATCTCTCTAACTTGACATTAAAACTTGTTCTCAATAATGTTATGGTTTTGTTTAGATCTATAGAGATTTTGTTAAGAAAAATAAAAATAACAGGAAAAATAAATAAAATATAATACGAGAATGACCAGTGATATGGTGAAAAAATACTATATCATATTTAAATTAAGTAATCGGTGATTACGCGTCATATAAACAAAACCTAACTTAATTGGGCAATCAAACAGAAGAAAATGGGTCACAAAATGTATCTCAATCAATCAAGTTTGTCTATCTATCTTTGTCCAGATTGGGGATTGGCCACTTGATAGACGGAGAAGAGTAGTAGCAGTCTTTCTCCAACTCAAAAAACAATCCACTTTGAATTTTGGGGAAATTGCTGAGAAGAAGAAACTTTGCACTAACTTTTGCGCTAATTGCGGTTTTAGAGCATAATATCCTCTTTGATTTCATCCCCAAACAAACTGACAGTGATTCTTTTTGTCACTGGAAAATCCACATTCAAAGCCTAAATATTTGACCTTCTGGGCTTGATCGAGACTCGACAGTTAAAATTTAGTGATGGAATGGGCTGGAATTTAATTTTCTTTCATTCGCATATGGGCTAAAAACCATACGATAAGTCTTTGGGCTTGTTTGATTTGTATCTCAAGATATAATTTTTAAGAAATTTTTTTAAAATTTTGTTTGGTTTAAATTTTTGAAAAAAAAAAAATCAAAATCGTTCTCTCTCGTATATATTAATCAACCACTTTTTTTCTCTTCTATCATTCTCAATCACTTTTTTTCTCACACGCATCTACTCAATTATAACAAAATATCAAATCATCTCAAACTCCCAAACTCCAAAATCATTTTCAAAATATATAACCAAACAAACCAAGAAAATTTCTAAACTCTCCCCAATTGTTTTTTTTTTTTTAAATTTATCTCAAACACATTTTATTTTTAAGTTCTATTTGCTTGGATATAAAATATTTTTAAAAAATATTTTAAGTATTTTTTTTATTGTTTTGTTGAATAAAAAGTGAGTAAACTGTTTTTAAAAGAAAATATATTTCATCATAATCTTAAAAATAACTTATCATTAAAAAATTATGTCAGTCAATTTTTAAATAGTTTACTTCCAGCTTGATTATTTCATCACATTAATCTTTTTAATAGTAAAAATGCTCTTTATTGGTTTCTACTCACCGCATATAATAGAAATATTTTGTTCCAAAGTATTAATCAAATATCAAAAAATTAAAATATATATATATATATATATTTTGTTTTGGTGCAAAATTAATCCAGTGATGCTGATGACATGGCATAAGCACCCAGGGCCAGTGGCAACTCAACTCATAACTCGGTGTGTCCATTGAACTCAATATATATTTTGTATTTTTTTTTTTCTTCCTAAAAGGTAGTTGCTTACAGAAATTTTTTCAATAACTATTTTAAAAAATAATTGGTCAAATTAGATTTTTTTTATGTTTAATATTATCCACATAAATTTGTTATTCAACTCTTCTCATAAGCTAATTTATTCGCTAACAATTGACTTTCACTAATTAACAAAAATAAAAAAAAAAACCCTCAAAATTTCTGCTAATTAATTATATCATTTCTTTAGTTAAAATAATTTCAATACAAATCGTTAGACAGAGGATTGTATGTCATGTATAGGAAAAAATATTTTATGTAACGAATATATTATTTGATCAAAATAACGTGATATACCCTTTTATTCATTAAAAAAGAACTTGAGAAATCACTTTTTGCTCAATTCGAGATGCTAAGGTAGCGTTTAGTAACGTTTACGTTTTTTGTTTATGTTTACAAAAATTTTATAAACTGATTTTTGTTTATTTTTAAAAAAACATAAATTATAAACGCATTTAGTTTGAACAAAATGTTTAAAAAATTTTGAAAACATAAACTAAAAAATATATTTGTTCAGACCTAAAATATTTATATTTATTTTTATTATTTATGACAATGGGATCACACACATTATAATTGAAAAAAAATAATTGAAAAAAAAATTAATTAAAAATTAATTGAAAAAAAAATATTTGGAAAAAAAGTAATTGAAAAAAAATTATTTGGAAAAAAAATTGAAAAAAAAAATTATTTGAAAAAAAAATTAATTAAAAAAAATAAATTGAAAAAAAAAATTATTTGAAAAAAGAATTAATTGAAAAAAAATTAAAAACTGAAAACGTAAACTCATTGTTTGAGTTTACGTTTTTTTCTCAAATTTGTAAACTGAAACAACCATTTATAAACTAAAAAAAATTACCAAACAAGTTTTTATGACAATTTTTAAAATTTTTATAAATATAAACTAAAAACGAAATGATTACCAAACAGGTTTAAGTATTTGGTCATATTAAATTTTGGTTTCACTTTTACTAACGTTGATTAATAAGTAAAAGGATGATACATATCATTTCAATTACGTAAAATATCCGTTATATAAAATAAAAATTATTCAATATTCTTAAAACATTATTAGGTGGTGTCTTAAAATAATAATTATTAATTTAAATTATAAGACTTACCACCTTTATATTAGAATTATAGGAGAGAATTGATGATGGGTTTAGCAGGACTTGCTTTAGTCGAAGACACCACCCGTGAAGGAGGCAACAGGCACGTGCAGTTTAGTCAGCCACTTGATTCCCTCCTACACGTGCAAGCACGTTTTGGCTTACAAATGAAATGGGTTGACACACGTGTGGGAACCATCAAAGCAACACCGTATGAATCATTAATTATTTTTAAATTCTTAAATCTTTGATGGAGTGTGTGCAAGTTCTCCATACACTCCATAAAGAATTAATGATTCATAAGTGTAAAACACATAGCAAGGGGTTACGTGTTAATTTTTAAAATTTAAGAGGATAAATCACATATGAAATAAAATATATAGAATTAAAATTTATTTTATTTTTCAAATAAATGATAAAAATATAAGAATATTTTAATTTTTTTCATTAAATCATTAACGTGTTTACCAGTATATTTCAGTCCACAAATCACAAGAGAATTATATGATCATTTCCAAACGTTATAGAGTAACCACATATAACCCAAACTATAAAGAATTAAAGTGAAATTTGTCCAAAAATTAATTTATCACAACTAATGTTTTTACCATATTGTTTTTTTTTAAAAGTCAATATGAATATACAAAGACATGTTTATTTATTTATTTATGTCTTTCCTATTACTTTTCATCTATTATGTCGGCAGAAATCAATGTTATAGTTTTTACTTTATTTTTAAAATTTTTTATTAGTAGTATATATTCGTTCCTTATATATTAAAATTAAAAAAAGTAATGTTAAGAATATCAAATTTTTATTAAATAAATGACCAAATGTCTCAGATGAGTATGAGGTCTACAACCCCACACCCATGTGAGATATTTAGTTATTTATTTGATAAAAAATTTAGAATCTCAAATTAAAATTCCGAGCCTGTTCTGGAATGTATGGAGGAGGGTGAGAAGAGAAAAT